GCACTATGGGTAATTTCCCATGGCCAACCCACCCTAACCTGCACATCTTTGGACTGTGGGAGGAAACTGGAGCACCCGAAGGGAACCCACGCAGACCCGGGGGAGAATGTGCAAACTTCACACAGACAGCTGCCTGAGGATGGAATCAAATCCGGGTCTCTGGCGCTGTGAGGCATCAGTGCTAACCACTGAGCCATCCCGATCCCATCTAAGGAAGGTGTTCCTTCATCATTAGGGAAGTCACTGGCTATTGGATACCCAATACTATTGGGTATTCCACTCAAAGAGGATCATTGGTGCAGGGAGGAGTGGGGGTGCAGTTGGTGCGATAGTGATACCATTGGACAAGTAACACACAGAGCTCCAGTTTCATTACCTTGGGGTCAAAGGTTCAAATCTTACTCAGGACAATTAGTGGAATCTGGCACACACTCAATGAATTAATTTGAAATTAGAAGCTAGATTCAGCAATGGTGACCGGGAAACTATCATTGATTGTTGTAAAGCAATAGCTGGGTCAGCATGGTAGCTCAGTGGTTACGTTGCTGCCTCACAGCACCAGGGACCCAGGTTTGATGGTTTGCATTGTCCAGAATGGGCTCTACACGTAAATATTTTATGGCTAAACAGTGGTCATTAAAAGCGTAAAAGAGGGGAACAGACCCAGGAATAGGAAATGGAGCTTCCTGAGTTACCACGCTTAACTTACTTTATCCCATCTTCCTGGGTGGCCCATTGGGAGTGAGGATGGTGGCCTAGTGATAAAATCATTGGACTTGTCAATCACAAGTTCCTGGTTAATCCCCTGGGGCCCTAAGTTCAAATCCCATTGGGTAGCTGGTGGAATTTCTATTTGTTTCATAAATAAACTGGAGTTGAGGACAAAGATGGCGGCCATTAAATCTTTGAAAGCTCCACCTGGCTGAACATTGTCCTTTAGGGAAGGAAATCTGCCCCTGGTGGCAGAGAGAACACATCGTGTGTGTTCACCAAGGCAGCAAGGGATGTTGGATAGACATCCTGGAAGATTCTAGAGCTGGACTGAGCTTCCATGAGACCATGGAGGGGTTTGAGCATGAGGCAAAGCTTCCTGGTGCACGGGGTCTACCCCGTTTGATTAACCTCTTCAAAGGATTCGGCCTCCACTTTTGCTTCTTTTTCGATTCTGTACTTTCCCCCGTAGATCCAGGACATCCATTCAGGTCAAGAAAGAAGGATTCAGTCACCTCTCCCTGTCCCTACAACCTCCTCTGACCTTCCCCCACCCCCTGTCCTCTCTTTATCCAGGCCGCGTGTATCTCCTGATTTTCGTCACTCTCCTCTCATCAACGAAGCACTTTGCTTGCAGTGTTTGAAAGGATCACACTAGCATCTCAGGGTTTGTTACTGTCTAGTTAGCCCCTTCCCAGTCTTCTTCCAGGTCATGATCCCTCCCAGAGATTGACCAGGCCACGACTACCTCCCCAAGATGTGACAGGGTCATGACCCCTTCCCAGGATGTGACAGGGTCATGACCTCGTCCAAGGGTCTAGCAGGGTCACGAACCTCTTTCTTGGATTTAGCACAGTCATGAACCCCTCCCCTGGGATCTATAGGGTCACGACTGCCTTCCTCAGTATTTGACCAGCTCGGAGTCTTATCAGGATTTGACAGGCCATTCAACCAATGGCAAGGCCCCATTTGGCAGATGGAGGGTGGGGTTTGGGGGATGATGTCACATTCCTGCATTTATGGGGAGTGGGTTGGATCAGAAAATGCCACTTACCTATGGTACCTGTCCTCCCCACCCCCCAGTATTCCATCCCTTCTGCTACAGACAGGCTGTAAGGATAGCAATGAAAAGGACATGGGGCAAAGGTAGCCATGTCCTCAGTGAGTGACAGAATAGGCTTAAAATGCTGAATGGCCTGCTGTCTTCCTCACGACAGCCAGGATTGATATTCCCAGTTTACTTATTCCAGCCTCCAGTCTGGAGTTTTTGTTTAAAATTATTCTTTCGTGGGTCTCATTGATAAGACTGACATTTGTTGCCCGACATTAATGGCCCTTGAGAGTCAACCATGTTGCTGTGGTTAGGAGTCACGTGTAGGCCAGACCAGGTAAAGATGGCGGATTTCCCTCCGGAAAGGACATTAGATGGTTTTTTTCTTAACGAGAATGAAAAATAGCACTCGCGGGTCACCATCACTGAGGTGATTTAAATTCCACCAGCTGTCATTCAAATCCAAGTTAACCCCACAGAATATTAGCGTAGGCTTCTGGTTAGCTCGCCAGTGACACTGGCACTGTCTCCCCCAAACAGAGCTGGTGGTGAACAATAGTGCAACAGCCTTCAGGTAGCAACTAGGTGTTGCTACTAGATTCATCCTAAGCATGAATCCTCTTGGTGGCTAGCTAAGCGAAGGACCTGTAATTGGAGCTGAGCAAGAAACAACTAATTGAAACATCTGTAAATGCATTACTTTGCAGAGAGGTCTAATTGGGCAGTGTGTAGTCTCCCAGAGCCGTTCACTCAATTCCGGACGAAATCCCAGCCAGTTTCTGTTCCATTTGGTCCCTGGCCCGAACCCACGGATTCTGAACATTTTGCTGCCACAAACTCAGAGAAGGCAAACAAGCAGATAGGAGGGTCACACCAGTGGCTGGAGATTTCATATATTGTTCACCCAGTTGATACTCCAGAATGTTCCCTCATGCCCCTGTACATTGACACGCACGCATGCAAACACGTATGTATGTATGCACATGTGTGCAAACGCACACGTGCGCACCTGTCAAAAGATGCAAACGCACACACAATTTCAAATATAAATATGTATGGATCAGCATGGGCAAGTGGGACTGTTTCAGTGTTGTATGACTCTACAGGAGGGGTTACCTTATAGAGGTTTATAAAATCATGAGGGGCATGGATAGGGTGAATAGCCGAGGTCTTTTCCCCAGGGTAGGGGTTCCAGAATTATAGGGCAAAGGTTTAAGGTGAGAGGGGAAAGATTTAAAAGTGGACCTGAGGGGCAACTTTTTCACGCATAGGGTGGTGCGTGTATGGAATGAGCTGCCAGAGGAAGTGGTGGAGGCTGGTACAATTACAGCATTTAAAAGGCACCTGGATGGGTACATGAATAAGAAGGGGTTAGAGGGATATGGGCCAAATGCTGGCAAATGTGGCTAGTTCAGTTTGGGAAACCCGGTCAGTATGGACAAGTTGGACCAAAGGGCCTGTTCCTGTGCTGTATGACTCTATGATTCTATGACTCTATGTATGAAGATAGGAAAAGTGTACATACAAACACACAAAGCATACACATTCAAATATGTACAAACACAGATGTCAAAACATAACACATACAATTACAAGCATAAATACAGATGATCACGTGTTAATATCAACATGTACGCATACAAATATCCACAATGATTTCCACACACACATGGACATTTACACACACACAGACACACACGTGCGTGCACACCGATATGCACACACAGACACCCACGCGTATGCACACACAAACACACAGGCGCACACACGCACACACACACAAACATGCGCGCGTGCACAGACACGCACACATGGACATTTACACACACACAGACACACGTGCGTGCACACAGACATGCACATGTACACACATCGACACTCACAGACACCCACACGTATGCACACACAAACACACACACGCACAGTTACTGACTCACTCAGTCTCACACTGACACCTTCTTTCCATTGCCTGACAGTCCCTGGAGATTGACGGTGACTGGTTTCCAACCCAGTTGATGGCAGGTTGGTTAGTCCAGTGTGTGGTCTGCAAACCCGGGCACATACCGGGTAGCCAGGGCATGGGTCAATGAGCTGTCAGGAAGTTTGTGCATGCCCACTGAATCCCTGCCATCCATGTGGTCCCAGCAAAGCGGTATGTTCGACACCTTCCTGACTGGAACTGCCCCATGTTGGTTGGCAGGGGGAGCAGTTTGACCTCCTCGGGGGGGCTTTGAGGACATTCGAGTGGGCGAGCCCTCTTCCTATTTCTCACGTCGGGACCTGGAGCAGATCAGCCATGATCTTGTTGAATAGCAGAGCTGGCTCAAGGGGCTGAATGGCCCACTCCTGCTCCTATTTCTAATGTTCTGAAGCACCTCCTTTGTCTCCCTGCCACATTCTGAGTAGAAGAGCCGATTTGGGAATTTGGAGTTGGGAACACTGATGACACATTCTCAGGCGAAGCTGGTTTTGAGTGAACATTACTGCGCTGTTGGGCAAGCTGGTGTGGAAGAGGTTACTGTGTCTTCATTCGATCATTTATCTATGTGGCATGTGGGCATCACTGGCAAAGCCATTGCCCGTCCCTAATTGCCCCTTGAGAAGGTGGTGGTGAGCTGCCTTCTTGAACCGCTGCAGTCCATGTTG